GAGCGACCACTGGGTGCGATCGCTCACGACGGTCGATGTACCGCGGCGTGCGGCGTGTCGGAGTCCGCCGCCCCCCGCCCCGCGTGGCCGCTCCATCTAGTTCGCTGCCCATCCATCGCCCGGCTTTGTATGCAAGACTGACGTGATTTGAGTTAGATTGCAGCGTGAAATATTCAATCGCCGGAATTATTTCGTTCGGTTCCAAAATTGCAATGGTGCTAGGCTAACAAAAGCGTCATGGTCGGCTCTGTAGGCTGGACCGCGGTAAATGAACAAGCAGGGTCCAGGTCCGAGTCGGGCTGGGCCTGGAAGTGATCAGCTGCAACTTTACGCCGATGGGATACCCATCATCCGCCTATTGGTTTGCGGCATGCTGTTACAAGATTTGCATCAACAGTGAGCGGACACCTCCTCTCTGCATGAGAATAACCCTTTGTTTAAAAAGCATTGCTTTGGCAAGGCTCGCCAAAGCCGTTGGCCAAATGATCGTGAAGGAGACGCCCGCTTCCGTTACTTGCGACGTTAATCACGTGAGTCTCATTTGCAGCATGCACGGCGAGTGTTTCGCTACGCCGCCAGCGTCGGCATTCGGCTCTTATGGACAATGAACCATGTGCAAATAGCCCTGCCGCGTGCTCGGGCGCCTTTGCGGCCTGATGTTCGAGGATGTCTGATGGGAGGTGTTTCAAGACGTTTTCCGGGCAACGTGTACCAACCTTGCTAATGGCCCTTTAATAGCTTTAATGAACACAGCGGTCCCTCGCCGTTAACAAGGGTAGCAGCCACCAGCGGTGCTTCAGTGCTGCGCAGCGTTGTTCTACAACAATATGATCTATCACAAGGGAAGATGAGCGATCAATTCCATTGTCTTTATAAGTGACATCGATTTCGGAAGTTTTCTAGTTGTTAGTTCACGCACATCCCATACAAAGGCATATTTTTCGAGATACTTTGCTCATTCTGTTCTTTAATCTTGCTATCAGCTAACCAAGCAATAGCTGTATTCCTTATTGTCTCTCGCCGCGTCATTTGGTCACAACTAATGCTTGCAATGCTCAGTAAATTGCTGAGACAGGCAAGGACCGCCTCAGTAATTTTCAGGGACTCAAAAGTCAGAATGTCTAAGCGTTTCAGTCCATTTCTGAGAGATCTTCAATTTGATTCTCTAAGGCAGTCAATACTACCGGGATTATTTAGAGACAATGGCGATGATTGAAGAAAATGCCCACATTTGGAGAGATTAAAACAAGCATCAGACATGATGAAAAAGCTTTCTTATGACTATTGGTGTACTCCTAGGGGAAAAGGCTGCTTTCAGACAACACCAATTCTCTGTTAAGCAAATACACTTCTCAGTACTTCATAATTTAATTATGTCATCGCACCTTGCGCAATTTGGATTGAGAGCCAACCAACGGCCGTTATGTCTTGAAATCGTGTTCACGAACGCCAGATATGAACGACTGGACAAGCCTATTTTTCTTAGCCTTGATTGCTTCATGGTCAACGGAATGACATGATTGGAATGACGTTATTATGACGTCATAGATGCTTGGGTGACCTTGAAATAGTCTCCCTGCAAGAGTCCGCACATCTCGGTGAGCGTGTAGCTCGGAAACTAGAAGTGTTAATTTAGGTCTTAAGAAAGGCAGGGCTGTTGAATTGCGCCAAATGACCTTCAAGATGGCTATTTCAGTCTTCAAAACCCTATACACATGTGGAACACTCCCTTTAAGACGCAGGAAATAAATGGAAAAACTCAGAACAACCAGAGAGCAATTACGTGAAAAGCCAAGGAGACAAGGGGATCAACCTCATGGTGCTGAAAGCGGTTGCTTGGAGCTGTCCAATAGACGAGTAATACGCGGTGGGCAACATAAAGACCAATTTCTTGCCATGTCGAGGCGGTCATGGCTCCAAAAATGTCAGACCCCGAAAAAAGTTTATTAGCTGTAAGTAAGGAATTTGGGTTGCCAGTCGTGCTAGCCCCACCACGGGCTCGAGTCTCTGAGATAGCCCGGCGGCCTTTAAGCACACACGAAGACGGCCAGGGTCTCGAGTCGCTCGGTGGGCCCCTGTGACCGTCACCGTCTCCCGGTCTCCCCCGACCCTGCCGAGGCGCTGCTGGAGATGGTGAAGCTCCCGCCAGACTGTCAGCCGGGTCCCAGGACGTCGACAGGTGCCGTGAGCCTTGTGTGCCTTCTCGCGATTGGTGCTCACGAGTGTTATTGATTGGTGTGGTTGGTGTGTTATGTATGGTAGGGCTCACTGTTGTTATTCGCTGTATGGTCGGGCTGTCCATTTCGCAGGGACGACCACCCCGCTGGCACCGTGTTTAACGAATCGTGATTTACGCCAGCTTTTGCAACGTGCTATCGCATGACGTGACGCGGGACGGGGCTTTTAATTGACGAGCTAATCCGATAATTCTAGGCCTCGTGGTACGCCACAAGAAACTACACTGCAGCTGTGACAGCAAAGCTGCAAACATTCCCGATTATTATCTTTAGCAAGGCTCGCTGGGGGCACGGTCGGGTCTACCACATAACACAGCTGAAAATAAGTCTATAATGAAGACTTCGGTCACCAGGAAGTTCAGTCCGCATCGCTACGGATTGGTGGTGATCGACAGGGCACCGAAGTTCGATATACCGGACGAACTGTCGTGCCGGACCGGACCAGACAGCGGGGTATTGGGCAGCGGGAGAAATATGGCCGGCCGAAACCGTGCCCGGTCGTGACCGCCCCGCGGCGACAGTGAGGGGTAGGGACTGCGACGGCTGTGGTTCTGTTGCGCCGCCATCGTCGGCGCGATGGACTCACCTTTGCTACGCTCATGGCCACATACAATAACCCATGTCATCAAATGATTGAAAGAGCGATATTATTGGCCTCAATCTGACCTTAGGGGCGTGCTGACCTATGATATGAGACATTTCAGTTTTATTTTACGACCTGCAGCTGCCACGCTTTCCAGCCCCCGCAATTTTCCACATCGCTAAAAGCGGCATTTAGGGGTTCTCCAGACATGCTGTCACCATCTCAACGATGCGTTTCACTCCCTCTCTCTGTCGACATCGGACCAGGGGCAGAGCAGGGCCAGGAGGCGCCTACCGCGAAGCGTCCCTCTATTGTCCGCTCACCCGTGAAAACTGGCCGACGGGTCCGGCCGGTGGCACGATCAATCAAAACACAGCACTTCTGGGGCAGTTGACGCATCTGCGTGCCTTCACACATCAGCGGCAACACTGGCGTGCTTGCAACCATCGGCGCCGCGCTTGAGATTGATTTTCGGACCCGGCTGGGCGAGGGCTGCCGTCTCTAGCGCGCGCGGTCACCGCCGACTAAAGGCAGACGACCACCGCGCCGAAGGCAGGCGGCCGTGCCAAACAGCGGGGAAGCTATAGCTTAGCGGGGACTCAGATCCGGGAGATACCTCTACGAAACGTCGGGCCAAATCTCGAAAAATGGCCCGTGCCAAGAAGCGATCGTGTATGCTGCGGTGAGATAGCGTCTATCGACCTCATGCTCCATTTCGGAACAACTTTGTTTGCATTCATTGCTGGCTTTTTAAAACAGGTCAGAGTAACCGGCGACCGCAGCGTATACCGGTACGGAACAGCAGTGTTTTTTTTTTCGGTGCGAGGCGGGTCTGAATGAATGACGGCCCCACTTACATGCAAGAAGCTAAATAGCTTCCTGAATGAAACTGGAAGCAAATGAATGGACGTATATCGTGTTTGAAATGCGAGCTTAGCACTCAGAAGCCCTCTGTGCGTTGCGTGGTGTACCTAAGCAATGGCCTCTGCACAGCTGCCCCGCATGTGAACCTGTCATCCTCCCTCGAACCTCGATAAACACAAATGAATTTCACCGCCTGTCGCCTCGTCCTTGTCATCTTAAGTGTTGTGAACACTGCCCATGCTCACTATTATAGCATTCTGATGATTGTTGATCATCTGAAAGTATCGTGAGCATGATCATGTGCACGCGCAAGCTCCCTGATCAAGTGGCTCGCTGCTTTTTCTTTACAGCAGCAGCACGTCGGTAAGGTTTTTGATACTTTTTATATTAGTCTCACTTCTGTGCTGAATTCGCTGCTCGGCGTTAGGCTGATATTTACGTCGTGCGACACTGCAATATTTAATCACTTCTGTTGCATGCTAAACGAACATACTTCTGTTCTACACCGCCATAAATATCCAGACAGACAGCCTGAAGGATGCATGATTGCCAAAAGCTTCTTCTGAAAGTTCACGTTCCCCCGTATGATTCATGGACTGATAGAGCGGGCTTCATGGGCGGGACAGATGGGCAAGTACCAGACGGGTAGCCACATTTGATATCGCGGCCCATTGAGCGATAATGTGACTGCTGTAACGAAATGGCAGTGCTATATCAAACTTGGTGCACCCATCCAATCGCACTTCATTGCCATCTGATTCATTGCCCTGTGCTAGGCTCATCGTGCGCATAGCTTGAATGATAAAGTGTCTCACAGCGGTAATGGACACTAAATGAAAAGTTGGGCGAATTTCCTAAAACATGCCCTGCACGCGCTCGAAAGTGTCACACATATCCGCAGCCAACCTGGGACTTTAGGGATGAAGTTTTCAATCGTTTTACTAAATGCAATGCTCTTACATGCGGCTCTGTGAAGGTTAAGCTGACATTTACGCAGCCTGGATTTGATGGCAGTTAGTGTGCGCCATTTATCTTCATCGCTCCGGTATAACCGCGCATCGCATAAAAATCGACTTTCTGCAAAACGCACACCACAACAACCCGAAACGCTCCCGGCGTAAGCTGCGGAAATGTTTATTCCCTCACCACTTTAAGCCATAGCTATTGCTGGATACGCCTTACTTAAACCAGGAGATATCTTGCCAGTTGTAGATGTTCTAAGCTCCTGCACGTAACATACCGGGTTCCAATGAATATGTTTTACTCATGATGCATTTCAGCATTCAAAAATCCACGATTTCATTGATAATTTTTCTTCATCTACACCGAGCGCCATTTCACTGCGATAATGAAACACTCCGGATTCGTTTCAGATTGCTTGGATGTCCTTGACCTTGAAGAGGAGCGGCTGGCTTGCCAGAGCGGCTGCGCAGAAGCGAAATATTTACACCGCGCGGTAAGTTTCGAGACGAGGGTACATACAAACTACGATCTAAAGACGAATCTAGGGATTCTGTTTCAAGCCGGGAAACATAATAATGCACTGGTTTGTTTTGTGTTTTTGCTCACAGTTACGAAAAAGTTTAGGGTGGTTTATGACGCTTGGTAAGGCTTCGTAGCTATCGTTGTTGCGCACTGTCTCCCAATCCCGGAAGTGTGGTCCCAAATGCCCACTGGAGTAAAAAGTATCTCTAAATCCGAATATCAGCATCATCATCAAGTGTAATATTTTGTCTTCAACTGTGCAGTCAGACTTCGCTAACCCTAGAGAAGTTTTTTTAAGGTCAGTTCTGACATTGTTTTCCGAGCTTGTTAAGTTTAGTGCGTTGCCAGGTACGTGACTCCAGCATAATAACGTTCATATAACGGTGTCTGCAGAGGAAGCTCTAACTATACATATATGGCTGTTAGTATACAAAAGTTGAATAAAACGTGGACAAAGCTGGGTGGCCAAGAAGGGGATGGTTAGGTCATTTTTCAGAACGATGATATGAATACCGTCAACAAGAGAAATGAATTATTTTTCCATCTTTACATGCCCCTTTTGCTCCCATTACTCACCTCCGGTAAGTTTGCAGCCTGCCCTGAAATTTACAGCTTGTGGAACGTTTTTCTTTCTAGACCTATGAATCAGCTTTAAAATGGCCGGATAACGGTGAAAAGCACAAGCTAAAGCTCACCTGACAAGCATTTTCGTTGTTTTTTTTTTGTTTTGCCTTCGCGGCACGTTTGGTTGTCACAGATATCCTGCAATCTCGAAGCATAAATATGCCGGAGACGAACAATACACATCGGATATGAGAGGTAAAATTGCAGCAGAGCGCGTGCAAAATCGGTGAAGATGTCTTACGATGATTCAAGTATGATATTGTGTTTGTAAAGTTTTCAATGGGCGTTTTTTTTATTCAAAACAGTGGCAGTTAGGACACGAAGGAAATGAGTATTGAACGTGTCTCGGCACAATGAACCACAATCTGATAGCAATCCATCCATAGGTGTGACCTGCGACATTTTGATCAGGTGACACAGGTGAAGTTCTGTGCGTTTAGCCCCCGCGCCCGTATCTCAAGGACTCAACAGAATACAACAAGACAAGCATTGTTAGATAGCAACAGCGGTATGAAATTTAAAATTCAATTAATGTCATTTCCTAAGATAAGTTAATTCCAGCAATCAAAGGTGAAAAACCATTTTTGTAATAGATGCTGATGGTGCATTTGAAACTAGCTTGATCTGGAATTACCCAACTTTGTGTGATGGAGTGCCATCAATATACAGTGGAATACGATACCATCAATTAGCAAAGGAAATTCTCTTAGAAAGGATGCCCCCACGACAAACTTACGCTATCGGCAAACATTTCACCAACATGACTTTGACAAAGGCGCGACGAAGGTATCATTACATTTGACTCAAGAAGCTAGGATCCTCCAACTTTTGTAGATATAGTGAAATTTTAAACAATCAACAACAAAAAAATCATCGTCGAGTCTGATCGGTCGAAAGATGTATTATGTAAATTTCAAGGATTTTCCGAAGCGCCGCCCCGGGGAAGAGTAAAACTCAGCGTATCGTCTGAAGTCTTAGCCGATGTGGATCACTAACAGTCGCGCAAGCCTTAATGTACGCTTCATCCGATTTCTGATTGATGACTACATAACTGATGTGAATCCACGCATCCTTAATTACAACGCAACGAATAACGCATTTGCGCCAAGGTAACCAAGTTCTTTGTTGTCGGCTTATTCCATTGGCTGCTGACTACCTGCGGTACTTAGGGTGTTCGGGGCAATTCCTCACAACAGAATATACAACGCTGGGAGCTGCTTTGATTCCATCTGTACCAGTCTTCATCAACATGGGATATGCATGGTGACCGCATGCAACAACTGTCTTGCTATGCCGTTTTTATTTGTTTGCCAAATGTGTGTTCATTTGGTAAACGTTTAGGCTGCTTCGGTCTCAGGTGTGATATAAAGTCATTCAGGTCACACATCCATCGAACATAGCGTGCTGAAGCATGGCACATACTTATTCTTCGAAATCTCCTTATATTTCTCCTATACTGATGCCAACCGCGTTTTGGGTCCGTAGAACTTTATAATTGAAGTTAAGCCCCACGTGTTCGGCTTTGTTATCTCAGGGTAGCTTTGGTTTCCAAGTTTTCGACATCCCAAGAGTGCAACGTGGAGTGAGTTCCTTGCAAAATGTATACCTTAGACAGCAAGTTTGGAGCACGGGTAAGCACTGACTGAAGCTCATTCTGGGTAGACTCAGTCCTGGTCCAGGCTGGAACAGGACGCGTGATGCCGTGTTTGGGTCCCCTGGCCCGGCGGCGCGCTTGCGGTGCGTGACGGACGAGGTCGAGCGCCGACTGCCGACAGCACAGCTATCAGGTGGTGAGCTCGGGATCACGGGACGCGTGATGCCGTGTTTGGGTCCCCTGGCCCGGCGGCGCGCGTGCGGTGCGTGGCGGACGAGATCGAGCGCCGACTGCCGACAGCGCAGCTATCAGGGGGTGAGCTCGGGGTGAGACCCAAAGCCTGGTCTCGGGGTGCTTGTACGGAAGCGGGGTGAACAGCTGGGGGGGGGGGGGGGGGGGGGCGGACACCGGGCTGACGAGCACTGCCGGTCCGCCCGTGGAGTCTGGCCTGAGTCGGTGACAGGAGTCGGGGAGCTCCTCCCCCGGCACAGTCCTCACATCTCATCAGGGCCTGGATTCGCATGTCGCGCGGGCGACCGTCTGGTGCGACGGCGTGGCCGGTGATTCAAGGTATGTTGCAGGGCCTGGGTTATATATTGCTTGCTCAAAAACAGCATGTGCTCTGCCAAGTGCATGCTGATTTTAACTGCATTATGCATGTCCATCAGCTGACAGACGTCGCTGACGTGAGTCTGACAGCCATACAGATGCAATTTACAGGCATGGCTGGTGTTCGCTGAGTTGTGCTAGTGTACCGTGGTGGCGAGTCCTTATCTACGCTTGACGTCATGCAGTTTTACAGTGGTCTGCCGCGGATATTGTAGCAGGAGTGACGAGATTGTTGTTTTTCTGATGAGAGCGATAAGCGTCGTGAAGGAGGAATATCAGCATGTTTCATATGGGTGTTTAAACACAATGCTGCAACTAAAGACCTTTCGTGACCACAAATAGGCACACGGGTTGACATACTGCTTGTCAACTGGCTTTGCGTTGATGGAATGTTTGCTCGTTAAGGTGGCTATTACCAGGTAAAAGACTTTATTGTGTTTCAGTCGGTGGCTGCATGCCATAAGGGCCTTCATGCCCCCAAACATTCAGGCTCTTACTCTTGAAGGTCCTGACTACTAAGTTAAAGAGAGTTTCTCTGGGATTTCGCCGCCATTTTCAGACCATGACTTCGCCCATTGACTCGCCTGAGCGCGGTATAGTCGAACCCGTCGTCAGGTGCACGGCGACTATGGCACTTTGGCGGAACCCGGGATAACATCACACCTGTGGGATGCTTGTTATGTTTGAATTGCCAGTATAGCATTTCGGCGCTGCAAGTGGGATGCGAGGCCTGAGCGTTTAGAGACAAGTTTAGCAAGCTCCTGTTCGAGAACGAGAGGACACAGATATTTTCGCTGAAAAATAAAGACAACGCTAAAAAAAACTCTCCACGCAACAGCTGTTGGAGAACTAACAAACTACCAGGAATGAGCACCAGATGCTCCTGTCATACGATGACGTGCCCATAAACTCACGGAATTAACGAGACAACTTACGACGACGTAATTGGAGCAGTTCCCTTTGGGGACGGTGAGTTGTTCATTTACACAAGCGTTGATGAAACAAGAGAGCCGTCAAAAGTTCCGAACATATGGATGGATCGACTGCAGAAGCAGGTATGTATCACGTGTGTTGAAAGTCGAGCATTGTAATTGCTCGGATCGATTTTCTATGCTAGTTTCGCAGGAACATCGTAACTTTAATTACGCTACAGCCAGGGACATCTCAAAGCGAAGAACCAGAGGAGCCTCTCCTCCCCCTCTTTGTGAGCCAAGAGGTTCACGCTAGATAAGGGGCGTTTTCGCAGGAATTCGGTTTAGATTTATGGGACGTTGGAGCAATTCTTTAAGTTACACCTCTCCTGAAAATGATTTCCGCTATGTTTCTGGCTGCAGCTGCGCAGTTAACATGCCACTAGCTTACACCAGACCCGAATGTACTTGTTTTGAATAATAGAACGAAGTTTTACCTAGACTAGTCTTGGATAGCTCCATCCCAGAAAATCTCTGACGCTTGTTGCAACCTTGACATGCACCCTTCCCCAAGAACACTTAAGTGACTGGCGGCAGGCAGTCCACTAAGCAGAGCATTCCGTAAATCTTAAACCGTGGAGAATGAAACAGCGTATGATCTTGGCATTCGTTTACACGTGATATTGGTTACACCAGTCATGCGGTCGTGGCACATCCTACGCCTGTTTGTAAGCATTGCTTTTGAAGGGATTGGACACGCAAGACACCCTGAGCTGGATCCGAGCCGGCCATTGCAAGTACAGCGGTGCCGGAGGCCGTGGATGATGTTCTGTCTTAGCCTTATTATCAGGGATCCTGATGTGAACAGCTGTACGGAACAATGGGAGTTGTCGTGCGTTGCACCAAGCATGGCGCTGAACGGCCGAAGTGTCCTTTTCCTCGCCTGGGCATTGTCTCACAATTAAAGTGCACTGGCCGTTAACTAAAAGCGCAGACAAAGGTTGGACTGTCCGGCAGGGCTCTCCTGTCTATTGTTCGCGGCAGCCGTTAGTTGGTTTCTTCTGTGTTCTGTTTGGAGCTCGCTCAGCCCAGGCTACCGCACATTTAAGTCAATAAACGAGCCTTTCGAACATCCAACAATCGTGCCTTTGTTAGTTAGGTGAAGTGAAGGGGATTAACTTTTCGTTCCAAATCCTGACGATCGATTTTTGGAGCTCTAATGCACGACGCAGT